GAAATCTGTGTGAAAGTGAATGCCACTTGTTCTCTTAGGTCCTGCTCTTCTTGAAATTCATAGCAAAACTCCATGATTTTTAAATAGGAAAAGGACTTTGGTCCCAAAGTACTTATGAATATAATGTCATTTTTTTGACTGCTGTTTGAAGCTCCCCTACTCTGCAGATTCGAATAGCAGGAAATAAAAAAAATTAATACACCCTCACTACATCCGCTGAAGCTACTATTTTGGGTGCTCTGTGCATGTGATCACAAGATCTGGGACTTCTGGTGCAATCAGTTATCATGTGGGCTGTGTACAGTGTTGAAATACTATTTAAAGGTACCTAAACTGTTCAGTAGCTTATAAAGCCTACCTCCAAAGGTGTAATTTATACTAAATGCCATCGCAAAAATGTCTTTCCCCAGTATTACCGTAATGCAGTGACCCTACAGCAAGCTTTGTGTAGAAATTCAGTGCTTGTCAAGCTCTCTTATAGAAAAGGGTTTATTTTCTTTATTCACAGCCACAAAGGTAACTACTCAAACCTCTGAGTCCTGGGAATAGCTCCCTCCCCAAAAGAGAATCTCATACCTTACCCACTGTAGGAAATTCAAAATCAGGCTTTATTTCAAATAAAAAAAACACTGAAGTGAGGAGTAGCCAAAATTTTAGAAATTGGAGAAGGGGATTTGGGGTGTGGGTGGTAGCTGGAGAGTAACTCTCCAATATTCGTATTTGATCATCCCTTAAGTGCCATAAGGTTCATACTTTGTTTCCTATTTTATAAAATAAATAGAATGGGTAGAACAGAATATTTGGACTGACTTTCTAGCTTTGGACCTGATTGTGTTCCCAAGAAAGCAATGGGGAGAAAATTCCTATTAAAAATCAATGGAAGTGGCATTGAACACTTTCCCTTGTCCCCGTTTTCAGCTTTACTGGTTCCTTTGTGCAGCCAGTCACTTTCAGGTTGTTAAACACACAATGAAATCTGACCCTTCTGATCAGACAGGTTACAGTGTAATTGTTTACATGGTGTAGAATGTGTGGACAGTCATTTGTTAGACTCACTAGTAGTCTCCTCAGAGGAAGTTAAAATATATACTCAAATGCACATCAGATCCTACTTTAAGGCAACTGATGTCAGAGTGTAGTGATTAGGTAGATGACACTCTACAAATATGCTTAGCAAGATTCTGTAATAGAAGTACATTTTAGCGATAGTACCTAATTGAAAGAGACTCCTATTTTAATAAGAAAATGTGTATATTGTATAGTGCCTTTGATCAGAGGATCTGAAACTGATTTACTAATATTAAGTCTCAACACTGGAAACAACTATTGGATGGTGTTACCATTTTTTTTCTAATGGTGGTTTGGGCAAAGATTGAAAAATGGATAAGAATCAGTAGCTTTATTTTACTAATTCCTGACAAGAAAATATTTTAAGGCAATTGGTTTCTAAAAATGTAGCCTTGGGGTTTTTTAAAATAACTTTGTCTTTCAAATTGTATGTACAAGAAATCTTTTGTAGAAAGTGTGGTGTTAATAGATATATGTCCAGGCAGCAGACAACGTCCAGGTGTGCATATACCTCAGTGACTGCCACTTCTGCAACAGATTTTGCAAGATCTAGATTAGACATACTGATCACAATCATGTTATTTCACCTTTTTCTGCCTTCTGGAGATAGTGCACATTCTGTTCTAGTATGATACTGGGTTGAAACAAAAGGATCATCTTGTGAGTATTCATGTTTGGAATTGGATTGCTGGATGGGAGACTGATTCTAAATGAGATTAAATGGTTCTTATCAAGTGACTATTGCAAAATAATGAAAATGCTTACTTGTTAATGTTCCCTATCCCATCCTTCTCAGACATGAAGTGGGTCTATGTGTATCATGATTTATTTCTTTAGGTTTCTAACTATTTCAGCCAAGATAAAAGTGAGTGGAACTTTAAAAGGTTGAGTATATTTTCATTAATCTACAAGTCCTAACTGCTCCCTGACACATCAGTGGCACAGCTACAGGCTGAGCTGTAGGCATTAAGCTACAGCTAGACGCTTTATGTTCAATAGGACTCGATCAGTAAATGAATAAAATCTTACACCAACATTTCAAGAGTGGCCACTGGCAGTTTTTGGTCCCTGCAAATTAGGCTCTGGATGTCTCAAGTTAGGCCAAAATTGTTGGTCAGTCTTGGAAATGTAGCTGCTGCTGCTGGCATTTGATTTTGGTGTGGTGACACTGGACACAAGAATGTAGAGATGTTTATTACTTAATTACCTTGAAGTGTGGTCTAGTGGGCTTACTGGGAGATAATAAATAAGACTTAGTGTTTCATGACTATTTAATAAGTAATCCTGAGGTAGGCAAAGGTTATTTTCCAGTTGAAACTGGGTAAGCCCCTTAACATCTTGTTACCTCCAGAAGACTTAGAAAGTCTGGCAGAGATGGAAATGAGGGTGGGGCACAGGGATGAGACACAGAGCGAGGGTATGGTTCAGTAGCTGGAAGCAAGGCATTCCTGACTTGCACAACTGAAAGGGTAACTGGGCCCCAGGGTGTGTTTCTCCCAGTCACGTGCCTAACTCTGCTCAGCTGACTTGCCATATGATTCTTGAGAAGTCATTTGGTTTTCCTCTATACCTCAGTTTCTTCAACTGTATAGAAAATAAATTCTGATTTCAGT